GTGAGGTCTTTGTCTGGTTTTGGAACCAAGGTGAGGCAGAACTCATAGAATGAGTCTGGAAGTTTTCCTTCCATTTCTATTTTTTTGGAACAGCTTCAGAAGAACAGATATTAACTCTTCTTTAAATGTTTGATAGAATTCCCCTGGGAACCCACCTGGCCCTGGAGTTTTGTTTGTTGGGAGATTTTTGATCACTGATTCAATTTCTTTGCTGGCTGTGGGTCTGTTCAAATTTTCTGTTTCTTCCTGCTTCAGTTTTGGTAGTTTGTATGTTCTAGGAATTTATCCATTTCTTCCAACTGCCCAATTTGTTGGCATATAACTTTTCATAATATTCTCTTATAATTGTTTGTATTTCTGTGGCATTGGTTGTGATTTCTCCTCTCTCATTTGTGATTTTATTCATTTGGGTCTTTTTTTTCTTTTCTTTTTGATAAGTCTGGCTAGAGGTTTATCAATTTTATTAATTCTTTCAAAGAACAAGCTCCTGGTTTCATTGATCTGTTTTTTTTTTTTTTAATTTCTGTACCATTTCTTTTTGCTCTAATCTTTATTATTTCCCTTCTTTTGCTGGCTTTAGGCTTCACTTGTTCTTTTTCTAGCTCCTTTGGGTGTAAGGTTGTGTATTTGAGATTTCTCTTCTTGATGTAAGCCTGTCTTGCTACATACTTCTCTCTTATAATCGGTTTTGCTGCATCCCAAAGGTTTTGGACCAGCATGTTTTCATTTTCATCTGTTTCCATGTAGTTTTTATTTCTTCTTTAATTTCCTGGTTAACCCATCATTCTTTAGCAGGATGTTCTTTAACCTCCATGTATTTGTGGTCTTTCCACATTTTTTCTTGTGGTTGACTTCGAGTTTCATTGCGTTGTGGTCAGAAAATATTCTTGGTATGATCTCAATCTTTTTGTACTTGTTGAGGCCTGATTTGTAACCTCGTATATGATCTATTCTGACGAATGTCCCATGTGCACCCAAAAAGAATGTGTATTCTGCTGCTTTAGGATGAAATGTTCTGAATATATCCATTAAGACCATCTGTTCCAGTGTGTCATTCAAAGCCATTGTTTCCTTGTTGACTTTCTGCTTAGATGATCTGTCCATTGCTGTAAGTGGGGTGTTAAAGTCCCCTACTATTATTGTATTATTATCAGTGAGCTCCTGTATGTTTGTTATTGTTTTATATATTTGGGTGCTCCCAAGTTGGGGGCATAAATATTTACAATGGTTAGATCTTCTTGTTGGATAGACCCCTTTATTATGATATGGTGCCCTTCTTCAACTCTTGTTACGTCTTTGATTTAAAATCTACTTTATCTGATTTAAGTATGGCTACTCTGGCTTTCTCTTCATGTCCATTAGCATGATAAGTTGTTCTCCATCCCGTCACTTTCAGTCTGTAGGTGCCTTTAGGTCTAAAGTGAGTCTCTTGTAGGCAGCATACAGATGGGTCCTTTCTTTTTTTTTTTTTTTTATCCATTCTGATACCCTATGTCTTTTGAGTGGAGCATTTAGTCCATTTACATTCAGAGT